CCGTGGGGGCGTTATAATGTGACGGTCAATCCCACTATTCGTTGGTAAAAGAGTAGCCCAAGAGTTGGCGGTGGGTGGTGATGCCTTCCCTCTAGTCTTACACTGCTAAATTAGGGACGGCTAGCGCAGATAGCCCTCGTGTAGCTTTGCGCGAAATTCCAAAACAAACAAACATATTTTTCTCGAATTTAATTTCAATTTAATTTAATTTTGGAATTTAATTTTTCCAAATACTTCAAGAATGAAACGGTGAATCTAGAGTAGGCTTTGCCTATTCCCAACATACATTTATATGCATCAAAAAGTACAGAATTTCACAGAGCTGACATAATACGCAGTAAAAAGAAAGACATTTTTAACAGACAAAAGTTGATTTTATGCTTCATTAATCTTTTTTTTAAATAAAAGTGAACCTACCATAAATATATATCTTTATTATCATACAAATAACCGTTATTTGACAAAAGTCTCTCTGTATGTGTGTCCGCTTATAACTGATAAACCGATGGACCGATTGTCACTAAACGTAGTATGTAATATCAGGGCCCTCAAGAGAGAGAGTGACACAAAGAGGAGATTGACGTTCAGATCCGATACTTTAATGTCAGTCCTCCGGGATCCCCTATGTCTTCTCTGTGCGTTCAACGGATACGTCAGCTAGTTTGTATAAATCTAAGTTAAAACTAATAGCTTATTTTAGTTTTATACAGGAACACCCTCTGAGAAATACCAGACAGAGAACCATACTTTCTATTCAAAAACAAAAATTATGTCGTGCGATTGGTTCACAAATGTAGGCTTACTGTGACAAATGCGACATTCAAATTCATCCCCTAGATGCTCCATATAGAAGAGCGAATAATAACTAGAATGTACCCAAAGATTGCTACAATAATGTTCACCCATAACTCTGCATTTCTATCTTGATAAACAAACAAAAAATATGACAATAACTTCACCCATCCTCTTTGGCCAGCACAACCTCTGAATTTCACTCAGACTGATCAAGTAAACCTTACCCACACCATTACACCATCTCCAAACGTTTTCAATATAAAATAACATTAGGAAGGTCAAGTGTCTCATGCGTTGTGTTTTACAACATAATTTTAATCTACGATAAATACAGACGAGGATCAAATGCTATCCGTCAGATTACATTGCATGCGTCTAGTCATCGGAGCACTAATGACGCAGTGCTTTCCACTTCGCAACTGAAATAAGCGTTGTGCTGACATGTTGTAGCTGCCATTTGAAAGTTTTCGTAAAATCCTTTTCATGACAGGGTTAACGATACTTGCATCATAATTTCTGTGGAATGAATCATTCTGACATCTGTTGCTCTTCTGTTCTAATGTTTTTGTTTTTATCTCCAGTCCATTATCAGTGGTTGGCAACTGTAGTTTTTTGTTTTGTTTTTTGTAGTGACAGACATATTTACTTTCATTGCCACTAGTGATAAACTCTGATGACGGGTGACAGATGACTTTAAACAACCGGTAATCATATAAGAAAAGGTCTTTGTTATCGAGGCACCTTCAAGATGACCACAGATTATCGTGCCAATATGACAATGTGAGAATTCTGTAAGCCCTTTATCTTGGAGAATGCGTTCATGAACGTTGAAGGTATAGGACTCAAGTAATAAATTAATTTATCACGTATCCAGTGCATATTCTTCTTGTATATGTGTGTGAAGGGAGTGGCTAATAAAGTGGCTATTCGGTATATTTGTGTGTGTGACATACATGATATAACCGACAAAAAAAAAGAAATAAACACCTTTTTCTAACACCTTGTGATTAGTTACAATGTAAACAAGTGACTAGAATAAAAAGACTGACTTTAATATCAAACCTTCATAACATTTCAACTCTTTTAAACTTGGCACGTGACACTCTTTATTCGGCCATCACTAAACTCAAAAACGAAAGGATCGCCTTTGCTTGAAATAACATTTGAATTCATATCAGTTGCTATAACAACCATGAAATTATTTAATCAATAAACCAGCACCTCTAAGTGAATTTAAACGGTTACAGCGACGCCAGTTAAAAGCTTAAGACTTCTCGTTTATTGATCCTATCACTAAGGGATCTTCAAGTCTTCTCTCTCTCTCTCTCTCTATATATATATATATATGTATATATATAATTTTCAGAGAATGAACGACATAAAATGATAACAGATTTTGCTATTAGGGGTAATTTCTAAAGATTTCGACTACGAATATAGTCGTAGGAATATAAAATTTAAGAGAACTTTTTTAATGCATAGTTTTGTCGTACTTTAATGTGTTTTTTTTTAAGAAAGTAGAATAAACGAGATAGTGTTCGATGACGCAGTTACGTAAACTGTTCCATTATTAGCAAGGGCGGCATGCTGGGGCCGAATCTACCCTAAAACGTGCCTTAGCCTCTCCTGTAGTCCTCACATCCAATAAACAACGCTTACTGTTAAAACTGGTTCACTTCCTTAACACTACGGTATGTGTAACGACAAAATGTAGAGTGCAGCCCCTTTATTTATTCTATTTTTTGTTTAGCCCATATCAGCCACCCCTGAATATTAGTCTATCATTATAGAATATTACAGAAGATCATAATTAACATACATAAGGAAAATGTTGTTGTTGTTTGTTGTTAAGCACAAATCTACACAAAGGGCTATCTGTGCTCTGCCCACCAGAAGGAAGACATCAGGCAGGTTAAACATTTACCACAAGAATAAAGTAATGGCTGCCAGATCCAAGACGTTCAGACTAAGATCAATTATCAAGACACAAAATAAAGTACAACGAAGAACGTGAACACTAATTTACTATCAAACGGACAGTTTAAAACGTTTAAACATTCTTTACAATGGAGTAAATAATACATTTCAAAAATAAAATAACCTTGAACAAGTTGAAAAATCTGTCTTCTGTTTCGTCCACTCGTTCGTTAGTAATAGTTTCATTAATGGGTTGCACTTTAAAATAAACCAAACCAAACTTATTTATTTAAATTAAGCAAGGCCTTAAAAAAGGCAACGCAAGATTATATTTCCGGCGCTAAGAAAATAAATCTAGCATCGTGTAAATGTGGGAATTATCACCGGAAAAAATATACGTGGGTTAAATAAATTCTCAGCAACCTGGACAAATCATCATTAGCGCGGACCCCGTGGAGACATCTTGCAGTGTAAACTCGACCAAATTACAATGCCAAGAAGCAGAATTTTTAAACAATAAAAAGTACCGAAAAACAAACTAAACATGAAATTTCAAACAACTGACACAACAATAAAAATTAAAGGGCAAAGATCTACTATCAGGGGGAGGGAAGATATTGAAGGCGTACCTGACCCTAATAGATTCCAACAAGATCCGTTCTAGAAATTCCAATACAGTTAGTGATGTAGTAATTCGTTGATCAAAATGACCTAAAATGTAATAACACTGTCATGACTTCACCTTTCTCGTTCGTAATATAATATTTTGTTTTTAGTTAAGCGCAAAGGGTTGTAAATATGCAGACATGCCGCTGTGCCACTGGGGGGGGGGGGTCGTAATATTATGGAAACCATAAAGAATATAATAGTGTTTAAAAAGTATTTTACTAAAAAATATTGATTTTTTTTTCACATTTGGATTTCGTTTCGTAGATTTTAGTTTACTGTTTTTTTCCTTTAAAACTTTATCTTTTATTATTGAAAAGTTTTAACCCGTTATTACCACAGATTAATATTTTAATTTGTTTATTTTTTTTGATAATTCCGTGATTTTATAGGAAGAAGTGTGATTTAATTTGAGCTTTGACTGAAAATGCGTATTAAATTACAATAATAATGCCTTGAAATATTTTATGCTATCTTGAATTGTAGTCTGTTAAAAGCTGTTAATTTATTATCTGGTGTTATTATACAGAGTATGTAAAATAGTGGAACACTCGAGAAGACCGCCAAGAGACCACCACTCCCCGGTTGCTCGATACCTGCGGTAGGTAGCACACAAATAGTCCATAGTGTAGCTTTGTGTTTAACAGCAAAAAAAAAAAAAAAAAAGATAAAAAAAGAAAATATTTAATATTTAGTGTTTTTCGTTTCTGATAATCATTGAAATAGTATTAATCCATTTGAGAGTACAGACTGGATCTTTTCAACATCATTATCTTAACCTTTGTTTCAGACGCGTTCGTCTAGGATCACTAGAGGACTTATGTGCCCATTCGAAGTGTATTACTTAAATTTATTCATGCATGGCCGGGCGTGGCCTGTAGTTAATGTGCCAGACTGTGAATCCGAGGTTCACGGTTCGCAGTTAGTCGCCACAAAAATGTAGTTCGTGGTTAGACAAAAGCAGTACAAGAATTGGTGGTGATTATTTTTTCTAGTTGCCTTCTCTGTAGTGTGTTTGTTTTTGAATTTCGCGCAAAGCTACACGAGGGCCATCTGCGCTAGCCGTCCCTAATTTAACAGTGTAAGACTAGAGGGAAGGCAGCTAGTCATCACCACCCACCGCCAACTCTTGGGCTACTCTTTTACCAACGAATAGTGGGATTGACCGTCACATTATAACGCCCCCACGGTTGAAAGGGCAACCATGTTTGGTGGGACGGGGATTCAAACCCGCGACCCTCAGATTGCGAGTCGAGCGCCCTAACCACCTGGCCATTGAGGAGTTCGAAATGAATTACTCCTTTGATGTCCTACCAAATGCAAAGCATCACTTTCTGCGGATGAAGTCCAGGTTTTGGGGTCGGAAGTGATTTTTGTCTAGGACTGAGACATTGTTTTTGCCGTTTAATATTCGCATAGAGAATCCATTTTTTATTCACCGGCGACAATTCTGTCC